TCTATTTGGGGCTCAGCCTCCCTATCCCACCAGTGTGAATTTTAGGCACCCCACTATTCTCAGAGAGATCGCCAGGGCTGTTAGACACACACCACCACTGTCGTCATCATCATCATCATCATCATCATCATCATCATCTCTCAAGGCCGAACCCTTATCCTGAGAATGTATAGTTCAAAGCTAATGAGAAAAAATATATTTCTAACCAGCCTATGACTTGCCAGGCAGCCCCTTCTCCACGAAATCAGTGTCAGGCTATTACGCAGGGGAGGGTTTAGATCCTTTCCTTTTGCATCTGCCTCCAAATTCTGCTCTTCCAGCCCTACTGGGAATAGGGGAAAGATGTATGTCTCTTAAAGGCTGCTTCCTTCCTTACACACATGGAAGCTTTCAAATAATAGTTGTATTAAGGAGTCTACTCTTAATCATGAACCTTGTTTGCATGAGTATCCTTCCAGGGGAAAAGAGGAGGTGGCTTATTTTTGTTATAATCTCCCTTCTGTTTCTAATCCTCTGTTCTCCATGTTGTTTCACCTCCCATGTTCTGGTTCCACACCCTGCGTGCTCTCTCAGTTCTCTGTTCCCAGGAGGCTCTCAGCTCCATGCCGTCCTGGACGCCTCAGTTTTCCCAACCAGCCTAGAATCTCCCCGTTTGTGATTTTTTTTTTTTCTGCAACTTCCTGTAGAAGCACACTATATCATTTCCTATTAGCTAAAATGCTGACCCAATGAATGAATGAATGAATGAGTGAATGAATATGATGCTGCCAGGCATGGCTTGCTCCTGCGAGAGCCGGGTCCGGGGAAGACATTCGCCAAGCTCCCGGCAGTGGACTGACGCCCACCATTTCTCTCTACATGATTCTGATTGGTTTCAGTTCTATCCTTTAAACACGTCACCAGCACTAAAAATAGAATAAATAGCTCTTTAAAAACAAAAAACAGAGATTTTAAAAAAAGCAGTATGGACTCAGGGAGAGGAAGAGGGTGGAGAATGAGAGGCAGAGAGACTGTCCTACAAAAGGGGCTCACAGCCAACCTCTCGCTCTAGCGGGGAATGACATTTAAAACCTGTCTGTGACTCCCAAGAAGCTGCCAATGGTCAGCAAAAGTGAGCAGAAGTACTCTGAGGGATTAAAAATGGACTAACAACAAAAATGAGGGGTGGTAGGGAGGAGTGAGACCAAAAGCAGACCTGAAATCCCATTTCCACAATAGATGCAACTAGGCCTGGTGGATTTCCAGAGAGGAAATGTCCCCTCTCTGGTCCTCTCCCTGGCAAAGAGCAAACTGGCGCTGTGGGCAGGCCTGGGGCAAGGCCTTTCAAGCCATTCATGCTCCACCCAAAGTGAGGGAGCATTACAGAATGGCAGGGTGGATTGGCCCTATTGACTTGACCATCCAACCCCTCTCTCCTGCTCCACTCTACAGATGTGGAGACAGAGGCCCAGAGAGTGAATAAAATGTGGCCCAAGTTGTAGAGTGGAGCCAGGGACAGAGCCGCAGTCCTCTGGCCTCCAGCTCAGTGGGTTTTCTCCTATCCAAGGATAGAAGGATCATTAATAAGTACCAAAATACACAAGGATAGCTGATCTCTTCAGTTGTTAAACCATCATGAATGAAATCTATTTTTCACTGAGTGTCTACCCCAATACACAGTTGGGGTGGTTCTACTTCACTTATTTGGGGGGGAAAAAGTGGGCCAGGTGGGAGCCAGGAGACCTCAGCTGGAGCTCAGACCCCCACCAGCTCTAAAAATAGAATAAATATTCTCCTTCGCAGTGGATTCGGCTCTCGCTGATGTGTGACATGTGACATTTTATGTTTCAGACAAATCACGTGGAAATGTCTTCTCTGTCCAGTGGGGTTAAGAGCAGTGGGGTTTCACGTTTACTCATTTAGAGCACATGTTCATTGATCTCCCACCAGGCGCCAGTTCCTAAGCTAGTCTCAGATACAGTCCCTGCCCTCGGGGGCTCACACAGCAGGCACATGTGGGCTCCCTTCCCTGGAAGGCTTTGGGTCCTCCGAGCACGAGCGTGAGTGACCCTGAGACAGGCACAGGAAGTACTAGGTTCTCAATCATTTTATGAGAGCAGATTTTTCTTATAGGAATGAGGAAGAAATCAGGAGATTCAAGGTGGTCAACTAGAATTATAGGAATTCTATGGGGCCCCAAAAGTGAAGGTGATTTGAGGAGAGGGTTTGTGCTTTTCCTACAGTTCCTAAAATTGTATCACATAGACTGTCTTTGGTCAAATGAAGACCAGAATTGCAATTCTGTCCTCAGAAGTTCATGGTCAGGAAAACAAACCCACCACCCTCTGTTTTGGTCCTTCCTCCAACACCCACTGTCACTTGCTCCAGCCAGGAGCTGTAGGCAATGCCAGCTAATTCTCCTATTCTGCCAACAGAGTGAAACTCCTTACGCTCTCTGGTGTGGCCAGGTTCAAGGACCACTGTTCGTTCCTCATTGTAGTTGGTCTAGCTTCAATGTGGACACAGCTGACTGGCCTTCAATCTTGAAAACTACAAATGCATCTGCCTATTGCATAGCTTTCTTTGACCAGCCAATAGAAATGTCAAACCTAACATGCTCAAATTGAACACCTGATTTCCCTATCATACTAACACATGAACACACACATACACATATACACACACACACACACACACACGCTCATCCTTTTGCGCAAGCCAAAACTGAAGAGCTGTCCCTTAGCCAAGCTCTAATCTGTCAACATGCCCTGGCAGCTTCCCTCCAAAATAGATCGTATAGTCGACTCCAGACCTTCTCCCTGCGAACAACTTTAGCAGCACGACAGGAGAGATGGTGGCTGGTGGGCCTCATCTCACATTGCGCATCTGCCACCATTACATCACCAGGGGAGTTTGATTCTCCTTCCTGGTTCTATTGCAAAAAATTCCAAGGATGGATTCTGATAGGTCCAGTTCAGGTCCCGACCCTTGGACCAATCCAGTTCTTACTACAATTACCTAGGTGGTGTGTGGGAAGAATAGTTTCCAAAATGAGGGCTTTGCCAGCCCCGGAAGAAAGGTGGTTCAGGCCGGGCGCCATAGCTCACGCCTGTAATCCTAGCTCTCTGGGAGGCCGAGGCGGGCGGATTGTTTGAGCTCAGGAGTTCGAAACCAGCCTGAGCAAGAGCGAGACCCCTACTAAAAATAGAAAGAAATTAATTGGACAACTAAAAATACATAGGAAAAATTAGCCAGGCATGGTGGCGCATGCCTGTAGTCCCAGCTACTGGGAGGCTGAGGCAGAAGGATCGCTTGAGCCCAGGAGTCTGAGGTTGCTGTCAGCTAGGCTGACGCCACGGCACTCTAGCCCGGGCAACACAGTGAGACTCTGTCTCCAAAAAAAAAAAAAAAAAAAAGGTGGTTCTGGGCAGATAAAGCCAAATACATGTCCAGCCTCCGTCTGTTGGAGTCTCAATCACTGCACACTCTAGGTCATGTGCAAACCTGTCTATATCCCCCACCTCACCAGACGATGAGGTGCTTCCCCCCAGAGACCAAGTCTTCATCGTTTCTGCAGCCCACGGCCTCGTGTCGTGCCTGGCACAAAGACACATGTGCTTGACAAAAACGTAGATGAAGGAGTGATGAAACTAACAAGTGGAATGAAATACTTGCAATAAGAAAGACCACTCAGGGCTAGAAAGATAGCAAAGAAGTTTCGGAGATTATAAGAATGAATTTAGGTGTTGAAGAACCAGTAGAAATTAGATTTGCAGACGAGGGAGAAGAGATGACAGAGGGGGTGCCTGAGAAAAACCAGAGAGACGGGCACACAAGTGGCGTGTGGCAGAGATGGTAAGGAGCCCACCTTGAATGAAGCGAGGTGTGCGGATTGACAGAGGGGGAGGCAGGGCTGGCTTCATGAGTGTGTGTGTGATCCACGCAGATGCACAGGGCCCTGCACTCAGAAGGCAGCCCTGCGAGCGGGCTGAACACTTACGGTCGCCAGCTTGAAATTCTTACCAATTGTGTGTTCAAATCCGTGTTTGGTTAGTGACACCCAACGTGCCAGCAAAGCATGCGCCAGGGGCTTGGTGCCTCACTCCACAGTCAGTGCCCTTCCCCCCACCTCCCACTTCCCTGGGATGGGCTCTTGGCAAACCATTTCCCTGTCCCTGCCCAGCAACCACTGCCTCCCTCCATCTTTGGAGGCGAAGGGGGAGATAGGCTCGTGGAGGGTCCCAGTCAGGTGGGGAGTTGCAGGGTGGAGCCAAGTTTCTTCACTGGGCATCCAGGTCCCCAAGCCTCAAGCTGGGCCCCCAGGTGTCTGTGAGGGTCTGCACATACCCTGTGGGTGCCCTTGTGCTCTCTCAGGGAGGCAGGACATGAAATAGCCAATAAAAAACCCACTATGACAGTCCAAGAGAGAAACTGTGGAAGAAAGGAAAAAGCTTTTTTCTTGCTTTTTGAACAAGGGGCCCCACACTTTCATTTTGCACTGGGCCCCATAAATGACGTAGCTGGCCCCGAGCAGAATTGAGGCTGGACAGGTGAGTTGGAGGCAGACTGCCAAGGGCCATGACTGCTGTAGAGCTCAGCCTTTACTTTATAGATCGAGGTTGGCACACTTTTTCTGTAAAGGGCCAGATTGTAATTATCTTAGTCTTTGAAGGCCATATGGTCTTTGTTGCAACAACTCCGCTCCGCTATTACAGTGTAAAACCTGTCAGAGATAATTCACAAACCAATGGGAGGAGCTGTGTTCTAATAAAACTTTATTTAAAAACAGACAGTGGGCGAGATTTGGCCTGGAGGCCATAGTTTGCCATCTCCTGCTGTAGACAAGGCAGGGTCATTGAAGGCATCTGTGCCGCAGAAAAGCCCAATCAGAGAGGATTTGCCAGGGGCCAAGACGCAGTAGTGTCAGCAGGGATTGAAAGGGTAGAACAGGGAAGCACAAAAGCCATACTAAGGTGCTGACACCAAGGCCACTGAGCCCACCTGGACTCTTTCCTGTGCAGAAGAGAGAAAGAGCAAGCGGAGGGTCCGTACCACCTTCACCACGGAGCAGCTGCAAGAGCTGGAGAAGATCTTCCACTTCACCCACTACCCAGACATCCACGTGCGCAGCCAGCTGGCAGCCAGGATCAACCTCCCGGAAGCCCGGGTGCAGGTACAATGCCCCTGCCTCAGCCCCAGCCTCCAGGCTCTTGGGACCTTGGGGGAGATGCCAGGTATCCCGGGCACTCCAGGGCTGTCCCATCTGAAAGTTTCCATTGCATGAGCACAGTCATAACAGCCAAACATTATTTTCCAGGAAACGAAGCCACCATAGTTACAAGACAGTTTCTCCCCTTTGGGAGTGGAAAGGGGAGAGGTGGCATCAGTGACCGCCATGGATCTCTGCTCTGTGCCCTTCCTCCCCACTCGGTGACAATTCCGGAACATTGTTCACCAAGCAGCCTCATTCACAAAATAGGTCTTGACAATCTAGACCAGGGGTCAACAACTATTCTGTAAAGAGCCAGATGGCAATGACTTTAGGCTTTGCAGGGAGCACAGTCACTGTCACAGCAGCTGTTCGGCCAGGCCGTGGTAGCACAGCAGCCACAGACAATATGTAAACAAACAAGCATGGTCGGGTGCCAATAAAACTTTATTTGTGAACACTGAAATTTGAATTTTGTATTATTTACCTGTGTCACAAAATATTATTCTTCTCCTAGTTTTTTTTTAACCATTTAAAAATGTGAAAGCCATTCTTAGCTCATGGGCCATTCTAAAACAGGTGGCAGACTTGGCCTGCAGGCTGCACTTTGCCATCCCCTGGTCTAGACCACGTGGGTATCACTTTGGAGGCAGCGCAGAAGCAGCAAGGAGCCTGGAGCCGTGGTCAGAGACCTGGTTTAAGCACCAGTAGCCTAATCTGTCATCTTTAATCTCTTCTCCCCAGAGTGCCTATTGCTTCATGCACGATTAGAGATACAGCAGCCCATTGTCACTCACCAGGGGTGCATCCTGCCCTCTTCACACAGCTCCAGTTTTGCAAGTGCCACTCTAGCATGTGGAATTCCACCAGCTCCAATCGTGGCTGTAAGACAGTTTTCTAAGTCACTCCATTTTTTTCCACAAACGCGATGGACTCATTCTAATTCAAAATCAGGCCACCGTTCCACTCTTTATTCTATTCCAACCTCCTTTCCTTCTGGCTAAGGACCAACTCCCCTTTTCCTTCCCATGTGGAATCAGGCGCCAGCTAAGTGGGTAGCACCTGCGCCTGTCGGGGAGCCCGGAATCCAACACGTGTCTCGGCAGAATTACTGCCCAGGAGATGGATGTGTGCCAGGGACCATCAGGGCACTCATGACTACGAAGAGCTGCCCATGGGGGTTGCAAACTGGTGGCCTGCTGGTGACCCACACATGGCTTTTATTTGGTCTGCACGGTATTCTAAAACTTGGAAGCTGTCACATAAAAACCAATATTTCCACCTTGGAAATTGGATAAACCTGCAACCCTGGACCCACATGTGCACACGGTGACTATTGCCCAGAGCAGCTGCCCCTTGGGGCTCTGTTCAACACGGACCCTGCCATTCCCAGCTCAAGGCACCCAGCTGCTCCACTCAGGCAGGTCCCCCCGGCCCTGTAGGCTTTGCAGGTTGCGACCCCAGTCCTCTCTCGGAAGGGTGACCTCCAGCTCCAAAGAAGTCCTGGAGGCCACGGAGCTTTATAAACTAGAAAGTGCCATCCCTCGGAAGGCGTCATTACTATGCATTTGAGGCAGGTGGTGGCAGATGGAGAAAAACACTTCTGCTTACCCTCACCCTCTCCCTAACCACAGATCTGGTTCCAGAATCAGCGGGCCAAGTGGCGGAAGCAGGAGAAGATCGGCAGCCTTGGGGCGACGCAGCAGCTGCGCGAGGCTGACGTGACCCTGCCCACAAATCCGGACATGGCCGTAAGTAGCTGAGTCCTCACGGTGGGGCTGCAGGGAGCCATTGTCTGGGGACATCCTGGCCAGACCCAGATGTGAGGAAATGCCTCAGGCTCTGTCTACAGTAAAAAGTGCAAGGAAAATTCTTTTAGAAACAGCATGGGGCAGGGAGGCCACCTCTCTCTGTCCCCATGTCCTTTCCCTGAGTGACAGTCATGGTGTTTCTCCTTCCTCCAAGGAGTGGTTCGTATGATTTGTGCAAAACTTCACAGTGTACAAAACAGGGTCATGGGAAACACAGTACTTGGAATTTGGGCACGTGGGCTCTGAAGCCAGACTGCCCGAGTTTGAACCCAACTCTGCACTCGCCTGAGGTAGGGCCTGGAAGAGTCACCTTGTCCCTCAGCAGACGATAAGGATGAAATGACTGAGACACAGAAGGCTTGGCCCTGGGGAAGTGCTCCCTAAATATTAGCCTTTCATGGAGACGGCACGTATTTCTCGGTGTGCACCAGGTGCTAAACGCTGGGGACAGACAGTAAACAGGACAGGCCTGCCCTGCCCCCAGATTAAAGGTCTTTACACACCCACAGTGACAGTGTGAGGCAGGATTTTTCATTTATTCATTTTTTGCTAATACATAAACTGATCTCTTGGAAGCAAAATGACTTTTCTGGCTACAACAATTGCTGCGTGTGCCGGGATTGGGAGCAGGTTTCCTTAGTCCCCAGGTCACGCACTTCTCCAAACCTACAGTGACCAACCATCCAGGTTTGCACCGGTCCACACAGGACTTTCAGTGCTAAACCCAGAAAGTCCTGGGCACACCAGGACAAGTTGGTCACAATCCCCACCCTGAGCTGCCCAAGCCTTGAGGGGATGGCTGGGGGCTGCAGGGACGGCCCAGGGTGACGCTGAGGACTCACTTCTCTCTCCCGACCTCTCTCTCCTGTCACAGGGCCCCATGCCGATGCCCACTGCTCTGCACAGGCTGGCTCCTCCCGTGGGGTGTTGCCCACCAGCTCAAGGTCAGCCGGCCTCTGCCTGGCTCCCTGCCCGGATGACCCTCCTCCCACAGCACCCATGGGAGACACAACCTCTCCCAGGCCCTCTCATCCAGCAGACCTGCATCCCCACACTGTGTATCCTTCCGCCTCTGCACCCCAAATGGGGCAGCATCTGTGCTACTTCAACGTAGGGATTGGACATCCTCTTCCCAAATGAGCCACTCTCCGTTCCAGGTGAAGGCGGGTGGCAGATGTGCCCTGGGCCTCAGACGGAATTGATCTCACAATCTAAAGACAGTGCACAGCCCAGGAAACTACCCCAAACCCACCTGCTGGAAGGTTGCACCAGGCTCAGCAGCAAAGTCAATGATAAAAGACAACTCCCATCTCTCCTGGCCAAAGCTGCTCTCCTGTGCAGAAGACAGGCTGGATGGGGCCTCAGGATGAGCTCTGGACCAGGGAGATTGTCCTCCTGCGCCTGTGCCTCCTCTAACTTGCTGTGCAACCTCCAGCCGGTGACTCACCCCCTCTGGACCTCATCTGTAACACGAGGCAGTTGGACAAGACGATTTCTACAGGCCCTTCTGACCCTTACTTTGGTGAGGTGAACCATGGTGAGCGTTGAGGCATAGAGGAGGCCAAGAGAGGCTGCTTGTTCACGCATTGACTCATTTGTTCATCACCACGCATTTATTGAGCAGCTACTGAGTGCTCCATAAATAGACACGAACAACTTGGGTTCCATCCAGTTTGGTCAAAGAGTGGTGCTGACCTTCCCTTGCAAGCACGACGCTTGTTCAATGGCCTTGCAGTTGGCTCGTGTCTAACATATTCTTTGTGGCGTTGATTTGCACATCCCAGAGTAAGAGAGAAATATAGGGATTTTTTTTTAATTAAAACAGAATTTAGTGTCTTTAGTTATTCTGTAGGATTGAGAGGAGATGTTGTCATTTCTGGCATGCAGAGTAAGACAGTAAGTTCTTTTCCTTCAGTTTATCTTTCCGGGACATGCGCAAGTGGACCGGCTGGAAGACCAGCCTCGCTCCGTCCCGGAGAGCCTGAGCTCACCCCACTCTGTTTCCTTGCAGCAAGACCTCGGGCAAACCACACGCCCTGTCTGACCTTCAGTTTTCCTGTCTGTGAAAGGGAGGCGGTAACTCCCGCCTGGCCCACCTCAACGAGCAATCCCGAGGGTCCGAGAGGACGTGAGAGTACTTTGCAGGGGGGTGAAGGTTAGGTCCACTGTGGAGCGATGTTGTTACTCCCAGATTCCACCAGGAGAGCGGCTGCCTTGGATCCCAGCCCTGAGATGAGTAACGCCTGCTCACAGGGAGGCTACCTACTGAGCTTCCCGTCTGCATGTGAGACCTGTCCTTCTGGGGGGACACGGGGCCTGCTCCCCTAAGCTGGGCAGTCTGGACTGACCTCCATGCACAAGTTCCAGGAATCTTCTGCAATCTACCTGGGGCCCTGACCCGCCCCGAGTTGGACCAGAGCTGGGGAGCCTAGGTCTCGTCCTGCTCTCCTTCCGCTCCGCTGTGTAACCTCACCATTTAATCTCACTCAGCCTCGGTTTTTCCATCTGTAAATCAGAGGTAGCAATGCTAGCTCCACCCTCGGGCACGCCGTATGCCAGACCACAGACGACAGCCACCGGATGTCTCTGCAGTCCTAGAGGTGCCAAATCACTCGGAGCCCAGGAATGTGGCCACCGACACCCAGTCCCTGGACCTCTATGGGTGAGAGGAGAAGGCTAGAGACCGAGGGAGAAAAAATCCAGTTACCGAAGGTGGGTCGCTCATAACGTGGGTAGCAGGTACCCATTTTATGGCCCTAAACTCAAATGTGCAAAATGTAATTTCTAGCATTTTGCTGTAACTGGATTTACTTTCTGTTGTTTGCAGGAAATTTATTCCACTAACTTCTAGGTTACTTATTCCTTAGACCCTGCAGGTTTAAAGGCAGTCACATTTGAGATTGTCCCTCTCTGCTCCCCTCCTTCCCCCGGGAGTCTTTGCTCGGCTGAGGGTGAGGGGTGAGAAGGTGTTTGTGCAAATGCCACCACGGGGGATGTCCACTTCCCAGCGTGCTCAGTCCCACACTGGCATCCACTGAGGTGTGTCTCGTGTGGCCTGGCCTTGGGCGTGACCACCTCATTCGACCCCCTAGTCCACATCCTCTGCCGCAGCCTCACACCCCAGGTGAGAATGCACCTGGCTTCCTCTGTCTCGTGAGCAGGAGGGAAAGCTGAAGGCTCTCCCACACTCTCGGGGCCGTGGGAGCCCTGGGCCAGGCAGCAGGTCTCACTCATTCTAGACCTCTTATGGCCATTCCTCCAGCCCTGGTGATAGGAAGGGCACAGGTGAGAGTGAAGTTCTCCAAACCTCCAAGTGGAATGGGAGAGGCTCAGGTCCCCTCTGCGCTGGGGTCCCCATCCCCTTTCTCAGCCACACACCGCCCTTCCCCCCGGCTCCTCTAGAAGCGGGATCTGCCAGCCATAAGAGGTTCAGGTGACCAGATGTCCAACTTCACTACTGAGGTAAACATTGATTCTGAAGGACCATTTCTTCCTTCCTAGGGATTTCCTCCCGGAACTATTTTATTCCCTTTACCTTATGTCTTGGGAACAAAGGAATCACTTTAGACCTCTTACCAGCTGTGTGACCTGGGGCACGTGACATCCCCCTGTGCCACGGCTCCCTGAATAACAGCCATTCTTGCCTCTTAGAGTCTCTGTGACAGTTACGTGAGCCGAAACATGTTAGTACGTGGTAAGCACTCAACACGTGTTAAGAAAAAAGCCATTTTCCCCAATACACCTTCTACCCCATTCTACTTCTGACTTTGAGCAGCTCTGCTCATCTCAAGCTCTGCCCGGAGTTCCTAAACCAGTCTCTAGGAAGGCAAGGGACTCCCACGAGGGAACGTGACGTTGGGTGTGTCTGTGCGTTTATTTCTCCCAGGGAAAGGACCCATCGCTTTCATCGGCTCTTCCAAGAGCTCTGAGGCTTAAAAATGGTAATAATAAGGAATCCTGTCAGACATACCTGAGTCAGACCGTGACAGCTTCATAGTCTAGCTATAAGGACTAGAGACTTGAGAGAAATTCAAGGACAACTTTTTTTAAAAGACAAAATTATATAAATATTGCTACGGTTTGAATGTGTCCCCAAAAAAGCAGTATGTGTTAGAAATTTAATCGCCATGGTAACAACATTAAGAAGTGAAAGCTTTAGGAGGTGACTGGGCCGTGAGGCTCTGTCCTCATGAATGGATTAGTGCTGACATCGCCAGAGCGGGCTCCTTATAAAAGGATAGATAATTTCAGACCTCTTTCCTTCCCCCACCCCCCCATGCTCTCTCTCTCTCTTTCTTTCTATCTCTATCCCCCTCCCTTTTTTTGCCCTTTGGCCATGGGATGCCACATGAGAAGGCCCTCACCAAATGCTGGCCCCGTGATCTTGGACTTCCTGGCCACCAGAACTGTGAACCAATAAATGTCTATTCATTATAAATCGCCGAATCTGTGGTATTCTGTTATAGCAGCACAAAATGGACCAGCACAAATGAACAAATGCCAAAGTTGTATTTAAATCATTCCAAACCTCCTTCTCCATTGCCAATATAGAGTTGTGGAAAATCCAAGTACTTGCTTTCTCAGCTGCCCTTACAGCTATGGTGTGGCTTTGTGACCAAGTTCTGGAGAAAGAGTCCCAGGAGAAGTCTTCTGGGGGATTTCTGGGAGAGCTTTGTTTTTCCTGATAGAAGGGACAAATGTGGCTGACACACCTTGTCCTTATTCTTCCTAACTTGAATGCAGATATGATGACTGGAGCTTAAACAGCCACTATGTGACCATGAGGGAAAGGTTAAGGGACTCACAGACACACTGGCCCTACTTCCAGGTTCCTTGTTACGTGAGAAATTTAAATCTGCATTTGTGTAAACCACTGTTGCTTTGGTCTCTATTTCTTACAGCTAAAAGCACTCCTATATGATACAAACAGGTAACATTTTGGATTCTGTAACAAACACCTATTGTTTGTCAACTCAGCTTCTGTTTCCCTTTCTTCTGATACTCGCACTTTAGGTTTCCTAGGGGACCCCTATTTCTCCACTCTCAATCCAAGTGGTTTTGGGGGAGCTGACTCCACCTCTTGCTGTACCCTAAAAGGGTCTGCAGCCCAGCCTTGGCCAGGACATTGCGCCCACCTCCCCCCACCAATCCTTGGGGACAGTTGGATTGAGGGATGGCTGGACCTCAGGCATGGCCAACAGCACTCGATCCAGGACCTTTGTGGTGACCCTTGGAAACAGGCTTTCTCTTTCGGCGTGAAGCTGGGAAGATGTGGGCCTGAGGGTCTGGCTGGTGCAGAGGACAGCAAGGTGGAGATAAGCCCTGAGCCTGGAGACACAACTGAGCTTCGATCCAGCCCTGCCTGGACTTTTCAGATACTTGAGCTGATACTGTTAGGTGGAAGCCAGAGTTTAAGCCAGTTAATGTCACAACCAAACCATTTCAGGAGCCTAAACTCAGTGATTAAGTGAGGCCAGATAGCCCCAAATACAAGTTATGAGCACAGAGCAGGGGTTCAACACCTTGTCAAGTGAATCCTATGTTTTGCTGAACCCTCTACAGATGATTCACTCCCCAGCTGGACCGCAGAGCCCCAGGCTCAGGCTCCTCGTCCTTGGTTCTCCCGTAACATCCTGCTCAGACCCTTATCTGAGGCGTTAGCTCAGACATTGCCAACGTCTATGTGGGGATCTGCCCGAGAAACAGAGAACCAGCTCCATGGCCGAATCGCTGGAGGGGGCGATTAGGCCATGACTGTCCTCTGCATCTATTCCTCTGAGATTGCTTTAAAAGTCCATCCTATGACCAAGAGCTCCTGGCCAGGAGGGCTTCTCTGCTCTAAGTCTGGGCCTCCCAGACCCATGTGGCATTTTTCTCTGTGCATGGCCCTGATCTCCTCTTGCTTTTAGCCCCAGAGCTCTCTGTCCACTTCTCCTGTCCCGTCTCCTGCTCTCCCAGGCTCCAGATAACACTTTTGGCCCTTCGTTCTCCCTCCTGGGATTTCTAGCAGTGGCCCATTGGGTGACCCCCCAGCTCCCATGGGGGATCCCTCCAGCACCAGAGGATACAGGCAAACATTTCCTTTGATAGCAGAATACAAAATTGTAAAATACG